CAATTCTCCAAATAAAATTGTTTATTCACGTCATTGCTGTTTGTGGGATATTACTGTGCTCAAATTGAGCTGTTGTATTCGTCTATTAATACACAATCATTACATTTTACAGTAAATCCTGTGAAGCACTTTGAGATGTGTTTCTGACAGGCATGTTAAATTCAAGATCCTCATCCTCACCTACAAGGCCATTCACGGCCTTGCTCCCTCCTACCTCTCCGACCTACTATCCCCCTACTTACCTGCCCGTACCCTCCGTTCCTCTGGCTCCGGTCTGCTCCACATCCCCCGCCCCAACCGCCCTACCATCGGTGGCCGGGCCTTCAGCCTCTCAGCCCCGAGGCTCTGGAACTCTATTCCCCAGTGCCTTCACCGCCTTCTCCCTTTCCTCCTTCAAGGCCGGTCTCAAGACCTTTCTCTTTGACCGTGTCTTCAGCTCCCCTCTCAACTCTCTACCCCCTCCTCGCTCCCTCCCTTCCCTTCCCTCCCCTCACCCTGACCATTTCCCCCCTGCTCGGGTCCTGACCCAACTGTCCAGCACCTTGGGACGTCTTCCCGACGTGAAAGGTGCTCTATAAATCGAATTTTGTTGTTGTTGTTGTTAAAGGTGCTGTATCAAAGCAAGGAATGTTATTATTAACTGGTTTACTCCACATGCCTGATAATAATCCCTCCAAAACAAAACAATAATAAATTGGTCATTTTTAATCCACGATTGTTTGTGGGACACTGCTGTGCGCAATTGGCTGCCACGTTTCGCCCATAATTATACGGTCATTCACTTTACAGTCTATTCTTTCAAGCGCTTTGAGACGTCGAGAAGATGTGAAAAGCGCTATATCAAATGCAAGGATTATTATTATTACTTGCTCGTTCCCCACACTTTGCTGTATTATTGGTGGCCGAGACCTCAGCAATCATTTCCCTGTCCTCTGGTACTACGCTCCAAAATCTCTTTGTCTTGCTGCTTCTTTTCCTGATCCTAAATCCTTACAATAGCATATATCTTTGGTTATGCCTTTGATCAACAACTTTTACATTTCTTATTTCGCTGCTACATTTAGTCCACCACTACATTGGTTAAGTGCTTTGACATTCTTTCACATGAAAAGAGCAACACAAGTGCAAGTTCTTGTTGATCAAAGTCCAATACAGTAAAAATTCTCTTCTTGCAACCTTGGTGATTGCCTTTCTTCAGCCCAGAGTTGATTTATGAAATTCTCTGGAAAGTATTTAGAGCTTTCAAAAGTTTTGTGCTGTCCAGTCACAGTTGAAAGACAAACTGATTCATGCTGGTGGAAGGTGATAGCTTTTAACCCCTTCAATCCTTTGAAGTCAAGTTTTCAGAGAAATCTATCAGTTTTGCACATGCAAAGATCAATAGAGTCACAGAACAATGAGATAGGACTGAATTGATAGGATTATAATAATAATAATAACCTTTGCATTTCATCAGTGCCTGATCACGACAAACTTCATGATATTTCGCCCACAAATATAGTCAATTCACTTTACAGTCTATTCTGTGAAGCGCTTTGAGACGTCGAGAAGATGTGAAAAGCCTATATCAAATGCAAGGATTATTATTATTATTATTAAACTGTTTCAAAGCACCTCACAGAGCTTTCTGTAAAGTGCAATGACTATGTGTGTAGGAAAAGTAGCAGCCAATTTGTGCGCAAGCAATGCCCCACAAAAAACCATAAAGTGAATGCCCATTTTTAAATTCTGTGGATAGTTGACACTAAGGAGAACTTACCTTCACTCATCGAACATCGACGTAGGATCTTTAACTTCCACCTGAACAGACAGACAAAACCCTGTTTAACGTCTAATCTGAAGGATGGGGCCTTTGACAAAGAACCTCTCCCCCAGCGCTGCACTGGGGTGTCAGACTACACTGCCTACCTAACTGTTTCTCATCTGGCAACCGCAATGCTTCACACATACAGTACAGTGGGATAAATATTTTCATACTATTTCAAGATTCCATCTTATCGGATTGCAAAGCATAGGTGCAACATCACCTATTTATCAGTTCCAGGCAATAGTCTTAGAAGCTGCATTGTCTATTCAATCTAAAGCTAACAATACACAGTGTATTGTGAGTATTTGCGATTTGGATCAAAGACTTACTGAGACAACAGGGTATACAATAATTCTCTGACTTTACTTCAGCTCTAGATCAGTTGTTTTTCCAGACTAACCTTCTTTAAGTGACAGGTGCCCTGAATCTGTCTGATTATAATTTGATTATGGTTAACCCTTAGGAAACTTATTAAAAGATAGCGGGGGGCAGGAGTTCCAGAGGGTAGGGGCAAAGTGGCTGAAGGCTCAGCCACTGATGGGGTGGCGAGGACAAGGAACAAGCAGCAAGCCTGAGTTAGCCAAGCGGGTGAGCAGAAGAGCAAAGCTGGATAAGGTCATAGAGGTAGATAAGATGAGAGCATCGGGACCTGAGGTGAGAATGATAATCTTGAAGTTGATGCGCTGGGAGCCTGGAGAGGACAGGAGATGATGGGCAAACAAAGCTGGTAAGGATGTGAATTTTGGATGAGATCTAGTTGAGTCATCAGTATTCATTTTATCATGAATTTAACCAGAATTTAGCAACAACAACAAACAGCAACAAAACTATATTTATATGGCACATTACACATCGGAAGTTCATCCAAAGACATTAGACAGTGAAGAGTTTGCACCCGAGCTGGGGGCTAAATTCAAGAGGGGTGGAGGGGGATGGAGGTGGGAAATGACCGAAGCTGCAATTGAAGAGGAAGAGGAGACAGGCAAGGGAGGAGGTGAGGTGGAGGGGCTCCGGGATGGGTCATAGAATAGGCCAGTGTCCACTGAGTGGACAGGTTGGTAAAGTTTTAGTACATCACAGCTTCTAGTGATACAGTGGATACATCTGCAAAGCCCAGGATCAAGCAATGAGGTGAATTTGTGGCAAACAGGGGAAGCGGCTACAGGGAGGGAGGCCTCAGGTCCTCACTGACCTGTTGCTAAGCTCCCGAGAGGTGGAGGTGGCTTCACAGTTGGCACATCTATTTGCCAAGGCCCTCGCATGAGGACCTGGATTGAGAAGCTGGTGCTGAGTAAGCCTGGTACACAGCACTGGACTTGGAACTCGAGAACATCAAGGTGGCTTGCACATCACAAGCTATCCTGTAACGATCCTTCCACCACCCTGAAGGCAGAGCCTCACCAGGAAACTGTGAGGCTTGGGGTAACAGCTGCTGGAAGGCGTTACCTGGAGTCCAAGATCGTGAACACACGTTTGTATGTCCAGCGCCTGGAACCCACCTTGATTGGCCTGCGGAGCGGCAAGCAGCTGCTGCTTAAACACCACACCTCCAAAGGTAGAACCATCACTCAATGGGAAGGGATGCATTGACCACCAAGAGTTCCTTGTACCCACCATTCACTTAGTCAGGACTCAAATCTGTGCTTGTCAGATGTCTAACAACCAACTAGTGACTATCCTCCCTGGGGGAAGTAAGTGGGGTCTCCTTGGAGCTGAATTGGCTCCAAGATGACATGCCTGGCAGTGGAATGTTGGAATCGAGCCAACCCTCTGTGCAAGTCTCGGTAGACCAGTTCCTGAGCCAGGGGGTTCCACAGTATTTCAGGGTACTGCTGAGCCAGCTTAGCTCATCGGTAGGACCTGGAAGGGCAGATCAGTCACTGGGGGCAGAGAGTCATCCCACTCAGCTCCTGTTAATGCTGTAAGCCAAAGTCCTAAACAGTAGGGTGGTCCTAGCTGGTCAAGCAGAGGGACAACTTGCCTGGATGGGGATACAGTGAAGCCAGGCAAGGATGGAATTGATTGGGTCACTGAACTTAACATGGGAGAGGACACAAGTTGTAGAGTCCTGAATGATCTGCAGCTTATGGAGTGAAGAGTTGGGAAGTGAGCAGAGAGGTAGCATAATCAAGCCTGGACATCATGAAGGTATGGATGAGGGTCTTGGCGGCCTGAGGAAAGAAGTAGTGAGGGAAATGAGTGATGTTGCAGCGGTGGAGGAACGCAGAAAGGGTCATGGTAGGATTTGGGATAGAAAGTACAGTTGTGGGTTGAACAGGGCGCCAAGTTTCCAGACTATCTCAGTGAGATGGAGTGTGCATCCATTGATGGTGATGCTGTCGGCGTCTGACTTATGGAGGTGTGGACAGGAACCAAGCAGGAGCCAAGCAGGAGCCTCTCGGTCTTGTCGATATTCAGCTGGAAAAAATTGGCTCTCATCCAGCACTTGATGTCTGACAGACATTCCGTCAGGACAGCAGTGTTCCTGGAGTCGAGGGTGGAGGCAGCAAGATAGAGTTGGGTACTATCTGCATACTTGTGAAAGTTAACCCCATGTCTATTGATGATATCACCGAGCAGGAGCATGTAGATATTAAAAAGGAGAGGACTCAGGAAAGAGCCCTGAGGTATACCACATCATGGGAGGTGATGGAAAAGATAAGAAAGAAACCAGGCAAGGACAGAATTATGAAGGTAGAGCTGAGAGGAGAGGTGGCAGAGAGAATTGAGTGGTCGACAATGTCGAAGGCGGTGGAGAGATCCTCTGGGAGACCCTCACAGGGAGACACTCCTGCTTCATTTCGTGGGGATTAGTTACTTTACCCTTTCCCATCAAAACATGGTTGCATATGATCTGTAGTTGCATTGAGAGTGATTGTATTAACAGCACATCCACCTTAACAGAGAAAGGCTGAAACAACAATTCTTGATAAAGGAGTGACTAAGCCCAAGATAACTCTGTCAATATTTGCTCATGCAGTGGCCATGAGAGAATGCACTTTAGACTTACTCAGTGCTTCTGTATCTGCCAATTGGTAACAGAGCAAAGGGTATTTAGCAGTTAGCTAAAGATTCATTATTGTAAGAAATGAAATGAATAACAGTCCAACACTATAAACGCTAGCACAGTGGAGTTGCATTTCACCTGAATAGTTGAAGTGTTCGGAGAAAGAATTGCAGAGAGACATGGACAATATTGGGGTCTAACATGCTCGAGTAGGGAAAACCCTGAGTTAAACCTGACAAAGGAGGGCATGGATAAGATAAGTAAGTGAATTATGGAAACATTCCAGGAGGTGCTTTGAGTGATGTCAGTAAATAAACTGTAAAGCGGTACAGAAATAACACCAATGAAAAAAGTGCAGTAATTTATCACTGAAATGGGTGTAAAAATTTCAGTGGTATTTAAAACAAAAACAACTTGCACTTACATAGCGCCCTCCACACAAGGGAGTGACTCAGAGCACTTAACAATGGCGGAGTCTGACTCCAAGCCGGGTGGGGGGAGAGGGTGGGCGGAGGTAGCCGTAAGCACGGTCGAAGAGGAAGGTTTTCGGGCAGGAACTTGAAAAAGGGAAGAGAGGGGGCAAGATGGAGGGATTGAGAGAGAGTGTTCCAGAGTTTCGGGGCATAGTAGCTGAAAGCGCAACCTCCGATTATTGGGGCAAAGGGTGTGAGGGACGAGCAGGAGGCCGGTGCCAGTCAAGTGGAGGGACCAGGTGGTGGATTGGAGAGTGAGGAGGTCGGAGAGGTAGGGAGGTGCCAGAAAGTGAAGGGATTTGAACACGAGTGTGAGGATTTAAAACCATAAATGTGCAAATACAGCTCTTACAGTGCACCAAAAGGCCACCATTGTTGATAAAGTTTTCAGACACCTTGGCTCTGTTCTTTGGAAGTCTTCCAAATCCCGTGCCCTTGCAACCCATCCCTATTTGCTTCAAAACTCTTTTTAAAAACATATCTCTGGATACCATCAATTAACTGCCTCTTAATCCCCTATCATCACCTTTCTCACATTTCTACTCCACTGATTATCTTCCAGTGAAAGCCCTTTGAGATGTTTCCATACGTTTATCTAGTTGTAAGTAGGAACCCAATTGTTAGTCGATTGGTGGATCACTTTTCCGGGGATAATAATCCTTCAAAAAACTAATAGATACAATTTGGTCATTCATCCATGACTGTTTGTAGGACACCGCTGCGTACAATTGGCTGCCGCGTTTCACCCACAAATATAGTCAATTCACCTTACAGTGTATTCTGTGAAGCACTTTGAGACGTCTGGAAGACGTGAAAAGCGTTATATCAAATGCAAGGATTATTATTATTTATTATTATGGACAATGCTATCATTGTTCCTTGGTGTAAACATTGTAAGGTCTCCAACTTTGCGAGGTTGCACAGAATACTGGCTAAAGGAGGACTGGCATGATCTACTCCAACTCTTCATAAAGATTCCAATGTACAAACCTTGTCTGAGCTTTCAAGACTTAAATGTTGGCTTTTGCACCCTGGGACCATGAATGCCTGCACATAAATGTATAATCGTTGGGGAGTTGATATTCTTGGAGCTGAGCTGGCTCCAAGATTATGTGCTTTACAATGAAATATTGGAATCAAGTCAATCCTTTATTGCCGGTCATGCTAGTCTTGTTCCTGAGCCAGGTGGATTCGCAGTACTTCAGGGCACTGCTGATAACAGACCAGCCAGCCGTGAGTTAACCGTGAGGACTTGGAAGGCTAGACCAGTCATTGGGGGCAGAGATTCTTCCCACTCAGCTTTATTAACCATGCAAGCCAAAGCCTTAACTGCTAGGGTTGTCCTACCTGGACAAACAGCAGAAAGCTTTCCAGACAGTCCTTTAATGGAAATCCCTTAATGCCCTGGCCCCTTCTCACCTCTCTAACTTGCTTACTCCCCTCACCTGTCGCTTCTGTTCAGCCGACTCCGGACTTCTGCTCATCCCTCGTCCCTTCTTCTTCACCATCGGTGGCCATGCTTTCAACCACTACACCCCAAATCTTTGGAACTCTTTCTCAATCCCTCAGCTTTCCCTGTAGTGCTAACCACTACACTACAGGACTCCACTTTCAGTTGATTGGTCGAATAAAGTGTTGTTGCTGAAAATGTATTGTTGCGTCGCAAAACTTATTGCTGTCATTTGCAGTGCTAACATAGCATATGTAGTGCATAAAAATGTGCAAAATAGTTTATAGGCAAATATATACGATGTTTCTGTATGTATTGTATATATGCTGAGTCTTTTTATTATAGAGAGACTATTTCTGTCTCTCAGTGGCCACGCCTGGGACCACTTGTCAATTTGGAGTGGACATCACTTATGACATACATATGTGGAACTTTCAATCTGGTTTGATTATTCTTAAAGATGATCATGAGTTTCGACATGCATCAAACACCTGGCTGACACACAAAGAATATGTGTGAATTGTAAAACTGTGTCCACATTCAGCAATCAGTATCAGTTTGTTTTTAGTGAATAAGCAATATAATGACTGGCCATAAATTCAATGATCTCAAACAGAAATACTGTCAGGACCATATACTAATGGTAAATACAGTACATCGTCAGCACAACACCACATACTGAACCACCAGCTCAGTATAAGCCAGAGTAATGGATTGGGAGCCACAAGAGGCCAAACCCAATAAATGGACTATCAGCTGCTTCGAAATGTTTCACAAGAGTCACTGCCTTCAAAACAGGCAGAAAAATATCAGAAGCCTTTTTTCTAATATCTCACCTCCCCATATCAGAAACATACTTCTGATATGGGGAGGACGTCAAGAATACCTTAACAGATACTCACAGCTCTGTTCTATAGTACAATTACACTCAAGCGCCACTTCCAAGGTTCATTGGTACATAGGTTGTGAGAATGTGAATTGTACTGTTGTACTGTCCCATGGGGCAATAGATACAGAATTGAGTGGGATGTGTAACAGGTATGGGTGGGCTGAGTGGGTGGGTGGGTTAGGTAGGTATGTAGTGGGTGGTTAGCTACTCGTGAAGTAAGAATATTCGTGAAGTAATCCTCAATGGCCTCCATGTTCCTTGGTTTAAAGTGTCTGGCAGATTTTTGATTTCAAAAGAAATTTGCATGAAGAAAGCCCTTCTGCCTATTTAATTTAGGTTAGTCTGTCTCAGTCGGTAGTATTCTCACCTCTGAGTCAGAAGGTTGTAAGGGGGTGACGTGAAACTCATATAGTTTAGGATGACGGTCCAATTCAGTGATGGGGGTATAATACATTGTTGGAGGTGTTGTCATTTGGACGAGATGTTAAACTGAGGTTCCATCTATTCAGATAGACGTCAAAGATCTCATAGCACTATTCAAAATGAAAAGGGAATTTCTCACAGTGTCCTGGCCTTGATTATTCACTTCATGGCTGTTTGTGGGACATTGCTGTGTGCAAACTGACTGCCACATTTTGAGATATCTTCCCAACATGAAAAGAGTTATCACAATATAAGGATTATTATTATTATTTATTTATTCTTCCAGAAAACGCACCCTACTGTCCTCCCAACACAACACCAAGCTCTTTTTTAAATTAATCCAGCATCCTGGTACGAATTGCCATTCCTAGGAATTTATTGACAACAACAATAACAACAAAACTACATTTGTATAGCACCTTTCACATCAGGAGAATGTCCCAAGGTGCTGGACAGTCAGTGTTTTGGAGGAGTTGGGGAGGCCGATAAGCGGGGAGCTTGCATAGTCAAGCCTCAATGTTATAATGCGTGCATGAGGGTATTGGTGGCCTGTGGTGTGAAACAGTGGCAGAGCCAGGCAATGTTGCAGAGGTGGGGCAAGGCAGAGCGGGTCATAGCATGGATGGGGGTAGAAAGGATAGTTGAGGGTCAAACAAGGTGCCAAGGTTCCCGACTAGTTTATTAAGGCTGTTAACCACCCTCTACATTAAGAAATACTTCCTGGTGTCTAGGCTAAAATTGCCCTTCACAACACTGATCCTGTGTCATCTTGTCTTACTGCCTTGGCGTATTTGAAAGTATTGGTCTAAAGTTTTTCTCAGTTCCATTTGACATATTGAGCACTGTGTGCAGCCAGTCTTTGGGAATATTTTAGAGCAAATGTGAGGTTTGAAGGCAGAACATGGTTTCTTGGTTCATGGGAGAATTTCAGCATTTAATTGGATTGAAGCTGTTGATGCAAGCAAAGTTGTATTCCTGTTGTGTGGCAGCACCACCGTCTTTGTGTTTGAAGGTTTGGGGTTCAGGCCCCTTGCCAGGTCTTGAGCTCACAGTTTAGGCTGGCACTGTTTCCAGTGTAGGTGTCGTCATTCAGATGAGATGTTAAACCGAGGTCAGTGTATTTCTAAGTACAATAAAATTTAAATGATTATTATTTCAATTTGATATCGTAAGGATATATAGAGCTTGTTCTAGAAAGCTAAGATTCTGGGGACTGATTAGGCAAAGCTCTAGGATTAGATGCTCTGGGTTGTAACCTGAGTTATTTCCTGGCATCTTTAATGTTCTCCTAAATGTTTTACAGTGGACTGAAAGATTGCAGTTCATATCGCTGAGCAGCCTATTTTCTCTTATCCTGACAAATCCTTTTGATTACGTTTTGACTGGCACTCAAAATTAATGTTGCACAGTTAATATTTAAGTTTGATATTGCACTCAAGCATTGTACAAAGTAACAAACACCACAAGGGTCACAGTGACTTATAATGCTTTATTAGCTGTTCCTAGTCTGGTAATGGTAGCTGGAATGGCATTGTAACTTCCCAACCATTGCCAACTAAATACTGTATTTCTAACTCCATAGGTTCTAGAAACAGCTGCAACAGTTTGGTGTGTTTAGAGAATGTAACTTTGTTTGGCAGAACAATAACATGTAATAAGTTGCACAATACCCACCGAGGGATGAGGAACAGCAGAGAGATGCAGAGGAAGAGGCTTGGAAGAGCAGCCACAGTCCTTTGTGTCATGTGGTCTGAAGTGCGTAGCTGCAATTATCAATGGTTGTAACAAGGGTTAGGTCATTGAGGCAGAATTTAGTCCAGGTCACCACCTCCTCGGTTGGATTGGTGCAGTTCAAGAAAGCAATAGTGTTATTATAGTGGCTGCACTAAAACAAAGGGAATTTACACTGGAGTTTTAGACAGAAGAACTTTACACTGGAGTTTCAGACAGGGGGTTTACACTGGAGTTTGAGCATCATGTTTGCCTTGTTTATTGTTGCCTCATCCTATTTTGTCATTGTGAGTG